AAAACATTGTGATTAAGAGAAATAAAGGGAAAGAGAAACAGAGAGGGAAAAAAGTGTGAGACTGAGATAAGATAGAGTAAGATGTCGACTCAAACATTGACTTGTTTCACTTGATATTCCACAAGTAGTACAAATCGTAATTATTATCGAGCCAAACGGTCTTTTTCGCTAACTCATCGGCCGTCGATCGTCGAGCTTTGATGAAACGTAGAGAACAACTAAATTATTGTATTTCGACGCGTCGATGGATTGGCAGGCGATTACGATCATTTACGAACGTTGCCGAATAGTTAAGCGGATACACATGTGCAAACATGTAGATGTACCGATCTGAAAAAGAGAGAAACAGAGAGAGAGAGAGAGAGAGAGAGAGAGAGAGAGAGAAAGAAAGGGAGGGGGAAAGGGAGAAAGGGAGAATCGTAATCTAGTTTCGATGTAAAAGCACCATTTGATAAAAATCGATAACGATCAGATTACGCGATCCCAAATTTTCACAGTCTCTCGATTCCCTTTTCATTTCGTTAAAGTGGATTTTGAAGGGCGACAATTTGTGTTGACTCATTTTGGAAAAATGATTTTTTCTTTCTTTTGTCTTCTTTGTTCCTTTTTTTTTCTCTCGAAAATCAACTCGAAAATAAATCTCCCGTTTCTTATTTCTTTCTTTAAGATCACTTATCCGATAATTCTTGTACAATAAGAAATGTAATTTTACAAAAATCGTGAAGAGAAATTAATGAAATTTCAAATATTTCGAATAGAACGGATCGCCGAGCAAAACGTTCTAGGGATATCGTCCGATGTTAAGAGTTCGAGTTTCGTCGATGATCCTCGGTAGGCGTACCGCAAAATTTGTTTGCAACCGCGTTGCGTTCATCGATCGGGCCATCGAAAGTGCCGGGCTCTGGTCCACACAACGGCAAAAGAGTAATCGAGCGGACGAGTAGCGTCAGCGACGACGGCAACAGCGGCCAAGGGTGAATAGCGTTAGAAGGTTAAGGTTGTATCGGATCGGACGTTTCTAAAAACGCTTCTGGTTCTTGAAGAAGAAGAAGAAGAAGAAGAAGGAGAAGAAAAAGACGAAGAAAAAGAAGTTGTAGTAGTAATAGAGGTAGATGAAGAGGAGAAAAAAGAAAAAGGAAAAAAAAGGAGAAAGAAGAAAAAAGTATAGAAAAGCGTGCGAAAATGCGATATACGAATATATATATGTACATACATATATATATATATATATATATATATATATATATATAATATATATGTATTTCTCTATTCGGTCTCTCGGAAGCTTCTCTCTATGTTAAGAGTATAAATTTCACAGCGGGTTGGCCGGTTGTCGATTTATCGTTGCTCGACCGACCGGAATAGGAGAGAAAAATAGAGAGAAAGAGGAAGAGAGAAAGAGATAGTTTGAGTGGAGAATAAAGTAAAGGTGGTTCGAGTAATAGCGATCGAGAGTAGCGTAAAGTTGCTCTTCGTGGCGTATAGAGCCACGAGTAGTTTGCTCGATGCTATAATGGGGACCCCCCGCGGTAGCTTACCTGCATCATCGACTAATCACATCGGATAATAGGGAACAATGGCGGCCCCGTGAAAAGTGAAGCATACCCACCACTTACCTTCTTCCTACCCCTCATCAGACCCTCGACGGTCCACTACGCGAATCTCTCTCTCTCTCTCTCCCTCTGTCTTTCTCTTTCCCTCTAACTGCTGGACAGTATGGATGTACGTGTGTGTATACGTGTGATAGAGAAAGAGAGAGAGAGAGACGATATAATCCTCTTACGCACTGAGTACAAAGTAAAATGCAGACGGCACAGGCGTGCCGCACTCCTGCGTGTTTCAGGCCTGGTATTACGCGTCGGCACGAGGAAAAGAAGCAAACGTTACGAAATAGAAAGCAAGGGAAAAAAAAGAAAGGGAGGAAGAAAGAAGGAAAGAAAGAAAGAGTCGATGGGTGTGCCAAAATTTCGCCCTTCCATGATCTTCTCGGTGTTGTTGAGAAAATTCTTCCTATCTCTCTCTCTCTCTCTCTCTCTCTCTCTCTCTCTCTCTCTCTCTCTCTCTCGTTTTCTCTTTTTTCGTTGTCTTACAAGCTCTCGTAGATCTTTTAAACGAACACCAATTTGAGACGAATCTCCGATCACGAAACTCAGACAGCAATGGCGATCGAAAACTTACCCCCTTTCTCTGTCTCTCTATCTCTCTTCTTAACTACAAGCACCGGCTGCCTGGAGGAAGAGGAAGACTGCTGGTCTTTGTCGAATCTCCGACTGAAACACGAGCTCGTACTCCAAAGGCCGCTCTCAATATAACCTCGTTATACTTGCTCGAAGTAGGTTTACGGCTCTCGAGGGTCGCCTCGATGGTTTCTCGTTACCACTCTCGGTTGCGTACGTGTAGAAAGAGAGAAAGATAGAGAAAGTTAGATAGACAGACAGATAGATAGATAGATAGATAGATAGGTTGGCGAGGTCGAAAAAGCACTTCGACATTATATATA